ACACTCTGCTTCTGCCCATTTCATTTTCTTTAATTTGGAAGATAAGTATGAAAGCGTGCCAAAGAAGTTAATTCTCCGTTAACAGTTTATTTTCTGGCACCCTGATGCCTTTGTATATGAAAACCAGATAGAAATAAATGTTGACTGAATCACAACAACATAGTCGCAACCGTCCTTAAATTTAATGAAAAGTAAACATATGAAGTATAATCTAAAAAGTTTATTAGTTATTGTTGTTTCATGTTATCATTCATTCCTGCATTTTAAAATAATGCTTTTGCATACCGATATTTTTTCAAAAAAATTAGAAATCAATCACTGGTTACACCTCATTTCTGTTTCCTTCCCCCACATCTCCAATTCTAGTGTTATTGGTACTTTCATCAGTTAGTCTGAGTAGATTAAGCGTATCTCAGTTATTTAATATTAGTAACAACATTTCTCCAAAACTACTTCCCAATATAGATGATGGACTCTGAGGTGCTAAAATTGATGGAAAAGGCATGGTAGTAAGCATGTTGCTAACTGATAGATACTACTAGAAAAAAAACCCACAATAAATACTAAGTATTGTGCAACTCCCTATAAAGCTGTATATAACCACTGGGAAGTTTATGTTTTATCATTTCATAGTATAGCTTAAACAGGGAGAAGAATGAATGAGGCAGGCTGCAAGTTCTAACAAGGCACACTGGTGGTGACATACAGCTCATCACCAGAGCTTCAGCCATTAAACTATGCCACATTAACCTTGGAGGGTATGTGTTTTATTTATTGTAGATGTAATAGAAACTAGTCTTAATGGAGTCACTGAAACTAGCAAGAAGGACCAATGTACAGTAGGATGACTACAGCACTGCTAAAAGCCAATTGGGATGTCCTCAGATAAAGAAAAACAACACCCACTGATTCACTGTAATATAAACTTTAGTCCCTCAAGAGAGTGACACAGGGATTTAGGGCAGCTTGGTGGCTCACCTGAATGTGAAAGTACATGTTCATTTAGTAATTTTGCCCTACCCACAAGCTGACCTTGAGAAGTTCTTAGTGTTTCATATAAGCAAACAAGAATAATAAATTTTAGACTAAACTAAATATGCTTCTATTCTAGTCAATTATATTTCCTCTCAAATTTCAGATGACATTTCAGTCAAAATTATCTTGAGCCATCCATCTATCTATCCCTGAGAAAATGCATGATGGCATAATAAAATTTTCATTTTGAAATTTGATGACTCCTTCACTTCTTAGGATTTCTTTAACTTGTTAGGTGTATGTGAACAGGAACTACACCTGACTGCAACTGAAGCAAAAAATACCTCCAGATCTGGTTTGAAAGAAGAAGAGGAATGTTTTTTAATGATGATTCTGTTACACAAGAATAGTGAATTTTTTTTTTTTACATTAGATGGCACACTAAGATCTGGACAAGTTGTTAACAGCTTGCATCTTTCATATGATCTTTTCCATGAGCATATTGACATGATTTTTAATGACTTTTTTTCATTAACTAAGAACAATAGACCTGTATGTTTTCTACCCTCTGAAGAAGAGAGCTTCAGGTAAGCTTAATTAGCAAGACCTAGCCTTGCCAAAGTAAGAGCAATTTGACTTAAGACTAATTTTATAAGATTCTCCTAGTACAGTACCCTCAAAGCTGAAACTAGGGCAAAAGAAACCCCCAAGAAAATTTTAAACAATCATGGTCAGTCTCATAGCATGGTGACATCTGCAAAGTTACATGACTGACAAGCAAAACTACACACTAGAAGTTCTGTGTTTCTCCTGTCTTTTGAAGACATACACATTAGAATTACTAACTAGATTCAATAGCAGAAAGTGCATGTTAATAGCAAGTATTTCTAAGCAACATATTGCTCCAGGAAGAAAGGTGACAGGAAAAGGCAATTTTAAACTCTGTGGAAATGGTTTAGAATAGCTAATTGTAACCTTTTTTTCCTTCCTTTTTAACAAGTACATTTTGTTAACTTAGAAGCTGTTTAGTTGGTAATCAATCAACAGTGTCTGAAAACTAGGATACAGCAAAGAAGTGGGACTCCTGGAGAAGAGTGCTGTTCTGCAGAGTACTTACTTTGTACATTATGACACAGATTGCATGCTTTTTCTCATTTATTCCTTTCATATACATTTATCTCATTTTTATACATTAAAACCCAAAGTTCTTGTATTCATTTAGAATCGTATTTATTTACAATATCAAAACTTAGAATCAGTGGATTAACGAAGCTTTTCTCCTTAGTAGTAAAATAATTCATACTAAACAAAGAATTCTTTCTGTATCTCCTCAGCTACCTCTAATTTCTGCCAGAACAGCACAGACAGGTCACGCAAGGCAACAGAAAGACTATCCACAACAGTGTAACAGCAGTACAGGCCACCCTCAACTACAGCGTTGTGAGAAGACTTGGAGTGAACCAGCTGGTCCTCTCCTGAAAAGAAGAGAATCAGCAAGACAAGGCCAAGGCCAGAATACCCTAGAGATGCACTAAATCAGTGCAATTTCTGCAGCAACCTCCCACAGGCAGGACTCTAGAGCTTAAAATCTGTTTTCCTTGGCAAGCGCCACAGTGAATGAGTCTCCAACCCCCATAGGATTGCTATTACCCCTACCCTTCAAGTATTTCCACTGACACAGTTGCCATTTGAGGTGAAGGGAATAAATGAAAAGAGGCAAACCATAAGTGAATATAATTTACATGCAACAACTATGGATGTACCAATCCATGAAAAACATACTGAGTTCAAACAGCAAAACTAATGCCGCTAGAGACATGTAACTTTCAGACCTTCACTAGCACAGAAAACCTGTTCTGCCAGGAGGTGAGCTGAGAGGACAAAAGAGTACAGGCTAAGGACAAGTGTCATTTCAGTAGAAGATGTTTTCCTCTCCAAGGCAAGGAAAACAGGCGATACTATGAGAACATTTCAAATCCTGCCCTACGAATTTAATTTCAAGGGGAAAGCAGGTAACAGATCAGGAGCAATGAATTGTTCCTCTCTTTTTCCCTTCTTCAAGCAACATCACCTAACATATTTTTTGAAAGCAGACAGACACTCCAAGTGTACAGAAAACACAAAAATCTACAAAGTGTTATAGAATTTGGGGAATGTCAAGAAAACAAAAATTTGAACCATGTCTCAGCGTATACATTTTTCCAATAAATACACATCAGCATAGAAAACATTTCAGTTTTCGTAAGGAGATGCCAAACATGGACACACAGTAATAAAAAAAAAAAAACAACAACAACAACAACAAAAAAAAACCCAAAAAAAACCAACCACGCCCCAAAAAATAAAACCCAACCAACCAAATCCCCCAAAACCCACAAAAAAAAGCCCCAAATAACCACAGAACCCCTGAAGAAATTAGGACCTTGCAGAAGACTGTCTGCACTAGGTCAAAGGAGGCATGGCAGTTCAGCATCTGTCTGAAAAAGTGGGCATCTGTGAAATTGTATGAAAACATGGCCAGCACAGAGCACTACATCCCAAAATACTGTTTTCAGTCGCTAATGATTTGCAGCTCAAAAACTTTCTGAGTCAGAGACTGTACATCAAAAAGCTACCTGAATCATCTCTATATGTTAGGTATCCAGCTTTAATTACTTTGCTATGTAAAAGTAGGCAATACTTCTCATTTTTACATTTGGAGTATTTTCACCAAAAAAACCTTAGAAATTATAGATTCACTAGTCAGATTTCCTCCAAGATATCCAGAGCTTTATTGCATATAATCAGCCTTTGCTAAAAGGAGCGTGGTAAAGCCATTTGGTTAGCTATCACAACAAATCATTATTAATAAAGTTCTGCTAAATCCAAACTTTAGATATCTTAACAACTCACCCAAAACTTTTTTCAAGTTCATTAACCTCTAGCATATTTTTTTCTCTAAATACAGGCTGTTAGAGTGGTACTTTCTTCCATCTGTTAAACAACCGTGCTCTGAATTACACAGAAATTTAGCTGAATAAAAAATTGATTCATTGAATGTAATATTTTAGACAAGGCTCTATTTTATTTCCATTTACTCAATGGCAGAATTCTCACAAAGCCCAAAAAATACAAGACTTGGATAAACACACAGACTTCTGTTAAGTGATAAAAACCTAAGCTTTTTTTCCCCCGCCATGAAAAATTTAACTTAACTTTTTCCCTTAAGTACTGAGTGAAAGCTGCCAGATTTGTTTATGGTTGTTCATTCTTGGGGGGGAGCAGGGCAATAGAACAAAAATCCCATACACACAACCAAAAGCTTGCGAACAGTTGGACAATAGCATTTTCCAAGACAAAAGGAAAAAAGTTCTGCAGTTACCCAAACGCAAATTGCAATGAATAATTGGCATGTCAGCCTTCTGGAGTTTTCTAGAAACATGTAATGAATAGTGCAGGAAAAGACATTGGGAACTATACCGAAGGATGGAATATGCTTAGGAGAAGTCTTTCATTACACAATGCATTGTACTGCATCTTTACTGAGCAAGAGACTGAAACACCCTCCTCACATACTTAAGCTTACCTCATACAGAAAAATTATGTTCATTTATATATTTATATACATATTCCTGGTCATTCTGTTGAAAAAAATTCAGGTTATTAATCTGAAAACTCCTATGTTCAAAGGGGCTGCTCTACAGTACAATCTCAAACAACATTTCAAATATATTTGTCCTATTAACCACAGCAACAGAAAAAAAGGGTAGTTGCAGCATCCCTTGCTCTTCCTGCCTAAACCCATGCCACCTCACCACCAGCGCTGAACATTGCCTCTTCTACACACTAATAATTCACTTTATAAATTATGGTTCATAACTCACTTTTGTAGTTCAAAACTCATTTATTCAAATCTCCACTTCTAACACAACTGTGGGCTGCTGTAGGCAATGACTGCAAGTATCTACAACAACTGTGGGGAAGCCTGTGGCAAAAAATTAGCAGAATGAAATTGGTACTACAGCATGTAATAGGATAAGGGGTACCTGGTGAGGTGCAGTTGGTGCTCAGATTTACTCAGCAGTTCTGTCAGTTTTAGGCATTCCTCTCTGGCTTCTGTCACATCCTGCTGGGCTTGTTCCAAACGCTGTTTGTTCCCATTAAGCTCTAATCCCAGTTTTTCTATTTTCTTAGAAAATTACAGAACCAAAGAAAGTATATTTAAGAAATACATAGAGATACATTTTAAGACAAAAAAAAAAAAGTGTCAAAGCACCTGAAAATAATGCACATTTTGTTTTTGAACAAAAGTAGTTACTCAATAAAAAATGCAAAACAAGTAAATTAAATTATTTGAAATTACATTCTTATGAAAAGCCAAAATGTGTTTCATATTTAAATACTCTAATATACAATCAATGTTATTGTGTTCATGCAGCTTAAGAGTTACAGACATTCAAGTATTTTCCATTTTTCTCATGTGAAGGCTCCATATTTGTGGCCTGAATTCACTGTGCTAGAGAGCCAGAAAGGCAGTGGAAGAGTGGCCATCTTCAGAAACTGCTTGACATAAGATAGCTCTCATGAGAATTAATTTATTTTTATTTTTTAATACCTATTACATACCAGTGACAAGGGGGCATTTATCTTTGTCAGCTAATATTACACAAGAGAATAAAGGTAATTTTGTGATTTTACCATTATTGAAAAGAAGTATTTATGACTTCTATCTGAACCCTAAACATACCAGCTGCTGTTAATCCTATTATTTTATTAAAGTAACTAAAGTTGATGAGTCTATTAACTTATTTACAAATAACCATGGTCAGGTTTGCATGACTAACATCTTCAAGTCCAGTGATATGTACTAGATCTACGTTATCCCAGTCATATTGTCAGCAATTTAAACATTTTTCATAGAAATTCTGAGAAACAATGTCTTTTTCTTCAAGTCCATATACAACATACAAGTACCTGTAGGAATATATCTGTAACATAATACAACACTTTGTTCTAAGGTTGCTTTTAGGAAGGCCAGTAGAGCACAGAAGAAGCTGACAGTGTAGTTTTATCATGTAGTAACTGTTCTGCACTAACTCCCTACATAAATATTTATTTGTCATTGGGGCTGCAGGGAACTTGCATGTTTCTCAGTCAACTAAAATGTGAAAGGTCATTTATAGTACAGAGTAAAAGTGTTTGCATAAGGAGTTAGTGCTGGATATCGATTATATTTTAAATTCATACCATAGCTTATTTGTGATGGTTTCCTCATGTAGAAAAGAGGCAATATCTTCTTTAATTAATGAAATTACTCATTCAAACATCCTACAAGAACAAATGAATATAACCCCACCCCAAAACAAACATTTGAGGCATTTTCATAACAACATTATCACTTTTCCTCTCATAAAAGTGTTAATCTAAACTACTTACAGTCATGATATCAAACAAACACATTATTTTCATCCAGAAAAACAACACCATTTCAATAGTGTTGGGGTTTTTAAAATTTTGCCATGTACTTAACTGTACACTTTTTTCCACCAAAGAACACTCAACAAATGTTCATGAAGAATTTAAATGTCACCTTGCTTTATCACATGTACTTTCTACCAAATTATTTTGGGAATTCCAAATTCAGATGCAAAGATAGTAAAACTATTTACAAAATTGTTAATACTTTTCCCTTCTAAAGAATATAACAACCTATTACACTGACAGAATATTTTAAAATCGGGTGCTTCAAAGATACTCAGTTACAAATGCTTTGCATTTTCACTTTTCAGACTTGTGTATTTTAAATCGAAGTCTCAGTGGGTTCTCTATTCTTCTGAACAGTAGCAGTTCATAAGTGTTATTTTTCCATTCATAGTAAACAGGGACATGAACTCTTCACTGTCTTCACAAGTTAAAGATAGGGAAGTTCTGCAACATTCCTAAAATCTGCTTTAAAAGTGCATCCATTCAGCACACCTTTAAACAAACCAAACCACAAGTTAGTCCAAAAGCATCAGCTAAGTACTTTAAAAAAGCACAACCTCAGCTGGGAATATAAATACACTCTAGATCACTCCTTCAGGGAAAAGTTTCAAGGAACAGATGGGCTTTACACCATTGCCTCAAGTTAAACAGGCTCAGTCAGGTCTTGACACAGACCCACAGAAGGAAGCAGATTCCAAGTGCAAGAACCTCTGGTGAAAATGTTTTGCTTCCATCAGCCAGATGTTGAACCTTCAGGGCTGAACTCAAGAACACATCCATAGGTTTTAGTTGCCATAAAAATGCAGGGGGAAATTCTCAGATAGGGAAGTGTCACTTCATGACAGGATCTTTAAACATTCACAGGTGTCTTATCATTTCTATTAGAAGTATGAAGAAAATGAAAATGTGGCTTTAAGAACAATTTTACTTGTGCTAGTTTCATCAGCAATTCCATAATCCAGTACCAGCTCCTTTACACTCATGCACACGTGTTTGTGCTTGTGTGTAAGTATATACAGACATACATAAACATCTTAAAATACCAATGTTTGGAGGTGCTTGCAGCATGACCTATATTCTGGAATTCTGGTAATGGCCATGGCAGAAACAGCAGACAATCACATGAGAAAGGGATGGCAGAAAAATGCTACCCAATAGAACATGTTTACAGCAACTCGGAAACAGCCAATCCAGGTATATTTAGGCTTATCAACTAAATTATTCTTTTTGAAACTCCAAAAAAATGTTCATTCAAAATCATTTGGTAGGAGCCACACACCACACTTACAGGCTGAAAACAGATCATACTCACAACACTATAGGAATTCCATTTAAAAACTCAGGTAATTGTTTGAAACATAAACCCTCAGAATCTGAGACATGTTAATATAATAAAAAACAACCCTCTTCTTTCTCCTCTTAACAATAATAATCTCAAAAATACACTCTGTCCTGAATTCTGAAACATGCCAATCTAGTCATTAGGCCATCACAACACAATTGGGATTTAATCTACAGAGAAATTACAGAATCAATGAATCTTTGCTGTGTTTGCAGGGATCCTTATGAGCAACATTTTTTTCCCAACCTTTACTCAGAGTAATTTTTGTATTACTTCAGTTACCATTTATTCTATCAGGAAGCTGTAAATAGTTCTGTAGCTGCTATCTGCTAGGCCACACTGTATTTGTAGGGACAGAAACAAACCACCAACTAAAACATTTTGCTGACAGCTCTGTTTCTCATGCAGTGTTAATTTCATCCCTCAGTGCCTATCACCTGTGATACAGCTTTTTACCACATGATCAGAAAGTTATTTCTTCAAGGTACTTAACTTTTCAATGTATGTGAGAGACAAGAGATGGAGCACAGAACTGCAAAAAGACAGATGACAATCTTGCATTTAAGAAAATCTGAAACAGATTTTCAGTATAACAAGGAACAGAATTACCATAATGTATACGTACAACAAGACTACATTAAGGTTAGAACAGGCAACTTCTGTTGCTTAACTCTGCAACTTTAATGTACTTATTACTTCTGCACATAATTTCAAAAGTACTATTTAATATGTCTTGTTCTGCAGTTGCCCAAACTCCCAGGAATATCAACAGGCACTTTGCCATGGAAAGATGGCAGACTAAACCTCAGTAAGAGAAACACCATTACTCACCATAAGCTGAAACACACTAACACCATCCTGTATCCATATTCAGCACAGTTACACAAAAGAAGTTTTACTTAAACAAAAATGAAGCATTAGTGAAGTACCACTGCAGTAAAATTTTATTTTAAAACAATTATTCTTTTTTCAGTATTACCACCAACCATCTTTTATATTTTTTCTACTTCAGTGCATATAGGGCACTTTTGTATCTTTTCTTGAACCACATAAGTGTTTCAGTTCTCCTCCATTAGTTTGTGATGCATTTAAGAATTATCTTCAGATTTTTACAATGCATCTTTAGTGGAAACACTAGAGATGCTCATTCAGTGAACACAAGTGCAACTTTCTGGAAAACATAAAAGACGATTTCTCAAACACTGAATTAATCCTCAAATATCCTTTTCATAATCTATCTGACATTATCTTCAAATAACAATTCTTATGCATGTTGCAAAAATGCACTTTTTAATTAACTAGACATCTCTACCTCAGTAAAATCTGATTAAATGAAAAAATTTCATTCAACACAAGTCAAATTAAAAATTAAAATAATTATTTCTTTTCATACAAATGCTGATTCTATTGTATGCAAAAATACAACTTTAAATTCCAAACTAGCAGATGCTTTTCACAGAATTTTACATAAGAGCACACTGACAGAAAAGACAAATACTGTTTTTTAAAAATTGAGAATGATTAAGTGGTGATAAAAAAACTCGTACTCTGAAGAAAATGTGAAAAACAACATTAGAAGACTTTTAACAAAATGAAAAATAAACTAAAACCAAATTAGTTCTTAAGTTATTTATGACATTCACTGTTGTCCCAGTATGTTTACACATCAGGTGAAAAAATACATAGTATAACCTGAAAAGGAAATTCTGCACTGACTATATCATTGCCCAAATTCTACAGTAAAATAATTCTTGACTGTAAAATATTAATGTGAATTTACACTACTTTTTTTTGTTTGTTTCATACTTAATTTGCTACCATTACTAAAAGATTGAAGGAGCATAAAATAGAACCAAAAATAGAAGAAAAAATATAGAATTATAAAAAGTTAAATATAATCATTGTGGTGGTTGCTATTTGAATGTACATCCCCAAAAGGAAATCAATAAAAATATTGATTTTTTTAAATTATTTTTTTAAAATAAAAATATCAATAAAAATATTGATTTTTATAAAAAGGCAATCTATAAAAATATACACACTTCAAATTAATATACTTTAACAGGCCATGATGGGCATAAGCTTAGCCTCATTTACTACAGTAGCCTTCAAAGCAGAGAGACCAGTTATAATACTCAGGACCAAGTCTTTCAAAGAAGTGCCCCCAGTGTGGCCTTGCATGTACATTTAAATACTGTGTGTACCATTGACAGGAAATTTTTGCACTCTTTCATGCTGATCTCCATCCATGTTGCCTTCCATACCTAATAATATACTAATTAATCAGAGACAAAAGTAACTGGATTTTTTTTTTTTTTAAATTTAAAAAAGCTCAACAAAACAAGACTAGTTTTGTAGAAAGA